TCAATTTCACTGGGTGCGCGCGGGCTTCGGACATTGTCGATTTTGCAGCTGTCGGATCAAATGTAATCATAGAGTCACTCACGACTATATGGCCCAGACGTGGAACAGAGAGACCATTCCGACATCCCTTAAGGCAAAGGGACTTGAATTGCATGTGGACAGCCCCGATGATTTCCCCACGACGCGTGCTGAATGGATCGGTACGCGTACGAAAAGACAGAAGAGAGCCTCTGCGATTGTGATGAGAAATATCAGCAGCAACCAACAGCAGGAGCGCAAGTGGGCAGATGGGGCATTCACGAATATGGCCGCTGCTGGTCAGATCCTTGGAAACAGCCAACCAGGCAACTTCCCTGCCTGGGTTCCAGAGAACGCCGCGGCACAGCCGCCGGCGCGTCATGGACCTTTCTTCCAGTATTTGGAGCCCTTGAAACCGAACCAGCGAGACGACCTCCACGAACCGATGAACGGTTGGGAGAGATGGCAGCACACGATGACCAGGCAATACATTTTCGTTCCGACGCTTCAGACGATAGTCGATCAGGTAGCCATGGGAAGACCGTGGACACCTGTACGCCAGGACGATGCCGCAGACGCCGCAGGGCAAAGCCATCGCGGACGTCTACCGGTTGCCTGGGAGGACAGCCTTGAGGCAAGACCGAGTCGCGACTCTCGTTCTATCACTAGGCGAGCAAACCAGTGTCGCGACCATCGCTTCATATGCGTAGCACCAATGCTGCAACCTGACTCCGGCGAAGCCGCGACGGCAGATGCAAACTTGCAGGTCGCACTTGACTTCGCAGCCATCAGCGGGCCTAAGGCCACGCTGATAAGTGACGGGGCGATCAAGCTTGATCATCCCAACGGATATTCATACAAACATTGTGAGGACAGTTCGATAAATATATCTTTGACTGGGATTGAGGCTAGAGCGATAACAGTTCAATATGTCATTGAATACACAAGTGTTCGCTCAAATGCAAATGACCCCAACAGGTTGCGACTGTCAGGGGGGGGGGACGCCACATGAAGTCCCAGATGTCGTGAGGAGCCTAGTTGAAGGGAGCTGGATGGCCCCTGTATCACAAATGCAACTTGGACTTCGCATTATAAGAGTGGTTGCTTTCAGTCGCGAAATCATGAGCTCCTTTATTTCATATTGACATTTTGCTGATTACCCGGGGCGAACAGTTCGTGCCGCGGGAGGGAGCACAGATGATGATCATTATAGGCGACGGAGGGATGCACATGCCCTTGACTGTCGCATCCGCGCTGCGGTTCAGACGGGCGACCTCGTAGAAGAGTGGGCCCGCAATTTAGGTAGACTGGTACGGACCGACATTCGTCGCCAGGGCCCATTGTTACAGGAGGCCATTTATTGGCTCCAAACCAGGTACATATCTGCTAATACGGAGCTACAAGATAAGGGCGCAGGCCCGCTCCGTACTGCGCGCGGTAAATTTGGCATTCCTGTAGCTACTGCTGCTCGGAATTTGCTGAAGTTCTTTCGCGATCGAGAGCAGCATGTTCGCGATGGGTGGAAGTGCCAGTGGGCCCCCCGACAGCCGAGCTGACTCGGCGGGGCCGAGACGACCGCAGGGCGCGGCGAAAGCGAGACCGCAACCGCCACCTCCGCCGCGCAGACCCGACGTCTCAGACGCTCGGGCTGGCGACGAAGTTACCGAATCCCCATGCTCTGCCAGCGGCACAGCCGTCTCGGCAAGAGAAGAATACTCGTGGTACTCTGACACGCGGGATTGGTCGAGGCCCCAGCGCGCGCGCGATGGAGCCGTGGATGTCGGCCGGGGTGCTGCTGGCCACGACCCGCTCGTCTCCTACCCGCACTGCGCAAACGATGTGCAGGTTGGATACTGCGTCCATCGGGATCGGTTCTGGTGGCTGTCCAACGATGTCTGGTGGTCGCAGACGTGGCACGTCCTGTCCCTGGCCGAACATGAATTTCGCTTCCCGCCGAAGGGGAAGGCGACCAAGAACAGAGACAAGCATTACAGATCAGCGTACTACTCTGGCCGTGGCAAAGGGAGGCCCCGTTCGCCTCGTGGCGGCGAGGGACAGACAGGAGGCTCGGCGCCATCACGCCCGAGGCCTCCGACGCAACCGACGGGGGACTACAACCCGTTCCAGGACCTGGATTGAGTCCGGCCCGCGTGACTTCGTCGCTGCTTGCGCATGCAAGAGAATTGTCGCCGCGCGACGAAGTCGCGTCGGACGAATAAAACAGCTCTGCCGATCAGCGAGGGCCGAATCGGCGGAGAGAATTTATTTATCTGATGGTGGGAGTCGTCGGGCCTCTTCGGCCCTTAGCCCCCTGGCAGCCACCGTTGAGCTGCAAAAGTCTTTTGCGGTTGGCTCCGGTGGTTGTGCATATGTACAGGACAGGGGTGCTGTGGCTGGATGGGCTCTACGAGGCCCGCCGCGGGGGGAGTAAATATGCTCCTCTCCGCCTCATCTTCATGCTGCTTATCATATCGCTGGTCTTGCTGCGCACTGCATGGCTGTGATTGCGGTAACCTTCCGCAGCCGCGTGTACTCACAGGAGATAAAAGGAGCGTGCTGGCTCGCACGCGCGCGCCGAGGGGTCGTTCCCTCGTCGTAGTCGTGTCGTCGGCCGGCCGGCCTCCTCACTTCCCATTCCTTATAGAGTACACGTGCTTACCGGTTACTTGTCTTATCGATGTCTCATCCCGTGCCCTCTCCCATTGAGCAGAGTGAACGTGAGACCTTAATTTCTTTGTCATCTTACCCCGATTCTCAGAGGAAAGACTCGTCTAGCTCACTCCCACCCGCCCTCCCTACACATAAGTAACACCCGAACCTCAGTATGTTCAGCAGTCGTCTATGAATGGACAGCTACTGGGAACCAGAAGCGAGCCCATGTGCGCGACGCTGGGGCGAGGTGCGCCACGCGTGCCATGCGCGTCGCGCGCGTCACGCACCCCTAGGGCCCGAACGTGCCAGGCACGCTTGGTGCGCCAGATGCGCCACGTGCTCCGCTTGCGCCAGGTGTGCCGCATATTCCAGCCGCGCGAGGTGCGCCACGTTCGAGGCACATGCAGAGTGTGTCAGGAGCGCTTGCGCACGTGACAGATCACATCGGGAAACATGCTGTCGAAAAACAATGCCCATCGAAAAACAATGCCCATCATTGTGTCTGGTGGGCATGCGCACAGCAGGCCATGCGCTACCACCCAAGCGGTCTCTGTCAAAAACCACTTGACAATGATCGCGGGGTGGCCGCGCATGATCCAGATTTGCCCAGGTGCATTTTGCAATATTTTTATAAACAAATCAGGGCTGGAACAGGCAATCTGCTGACCACCCCGCCGCCCCTGTCAACATAACATACAAAAGGCTCGCGGGCCTTACCAACATGACTCAAGACTTTGCCCCAAAGTGTAGTGTGTATTGTTTTTTGGCAGGGGTGGTGGTGGGGGGTCGCATCGGGTTGGCCGCGCATGCTCCGCATTTGGAGGCAAAGTGAGTTTTGTATTGTTTTTGGGAAGGGATGGTGGGGGGGAACATCGTTCCTGGTTGGCTGCCGGTCGCCTGGGCGAGGGTGTGTATATTCATAGGGGACAGTGATGAAGCCATCCCCTAGATAACATGCCGTCTAGTTCACTCCCACCCGTCCTCCCAATACAGAAGTAACGCCCGAACCTCAGCATGTTCAGCGGTCGTCTTTGGATTGGCAGCTGCTGGGAACCAGAAACGACCCCATGTGCGCGACGCGCGCAATGCACCCCTAGGGCCCGAGCGTGCCAGGCACGCCTGGTGCGCCAGATGCGCCACGTGCTCCGCTTGCGCCAGATGTGCCGCATATTCCAGCCGCGCCAGGTGCGCCACGTTCGGGGCGCATGCAGAGTGTGTCAGGAGCGCCTGCGCACGTGACAGACCACATTGGGAAACATGTCGGCCCCCACCATCCTTGTCGAAAACCAATGCCCATCATTGTGTCTGGTGGGCATGCGCACAGCAAACCATGCGCCACGACCCAAGCGGTCCCTGTCAAAGACTACTTGACAGTGATCGCGGGGTGGCCGCGCATGATCCAAATTTAGCCACGAGGTGCATTTTGTATTGTTTGTTCGTTGGTTGACAGCCCTGCGCAAAGCAGGCAATATGCTGACATCCCCGCCGTCCCTGTCAAGAACAGTACAAAGTGCTCGCGGGCCTCACGAACGTGACTCAAGAGTCCCGAAAGTGTACTTTTAATTGTTTTTGTTGGCAGGGCTTGTGGGGGTGAGGCGCATCGGGTTGGCCGCGCATGCTCCAAATGTGGAGGCAGAGTGCGTCGTGTATTTTTTTTTTACGAGGGTGGTGGGGGGGGGGAGCATGGGGTCCTCGTGGTTCCTGGTTGGCTGCCGGTCGCCTGGGGGAGAGGGTGTACATTGATAGGGAACAATGATAAACCCCTCCTCGAAGCTGAAGAAGGGCCGGAGAGACCACCTACGCCCAGAGGGCTGGTGGGATTACGCCACCAGCCCCTTTATCCCCCCCCCGAAGTGTTCTGTCTTTGGGACTCGCCCCCTGCGCGGGGCCCCGCCCCCACCCAGGGGCCACGGCGGCGTCCCATGCAGGCCGCGGGTGCGAAGCCCGTCGGCCCTGCACCTCCAACCGGCCCGCAGGGATGCAGGAAGTCGCCTGCCCAGCCATGTCGTGGCTGGGATCGAGCAGGTAGGTTCGGTAGCAAATCAATGGAGTCTGGTATACCCTGTTGATTTTATCTTTAGCGGCGACTCGCGCCTGGGAGTCGATGAGATAGCGCCCATTTAACGTAGATTTGGCGTCGATTAGGGTCGATCTAGCGTCGTTTAGCGTCGACTAACGTCGACAAGCGTCGATTCGCAAGAGCCGACAAGATGGTAATTATGGGAGGCCTCCATGAGTTGCCACCGAATGGATGGAAAGAGGGACGAACCGCCCCTGCACCCGACCCCCCCCCATCGCCCCTCCTTGCCGCCGCCGGCCCCCTTGGTCAGGAGGCCCTCGGCCCCGAGCACCCGGACAGCCCCGCACCCACCCCTCGCGTGGCCCCCCGCGGCGAGCCCGAGGGGAAGGGGGAGGAGAGACCAGTGTAAACCCATAGTCATGAACGATGTTGGAATAAGCCTTCCTCCTAAGCTCCCCCTTCATAGGCCCCTTCAAGAGATCATTTCCACTGAAGGAGGCGACCGTTCGAAGACCCTGAAGCGTGCCAAAACACCACAAATCAACCTGACTGTTGCGTCTTGACGATCCAGAACCGTGCGAGAGCACCATTCCTGTGACTTCACCGCCGCGAATCAACGTAAATGTTGTGCCCTCACAATCCTGAGTCCTTCCACAACACCACTCCTGGCGTGTTGACCATGAGAATCGCTAATTTTTAAGACGAGTGTGCGCGGCGCTAGGGCGAGAGCCACATGTTTAGAACGACCCGCCCTCAATCCGTGAAGCTCCTGTTGCAAAGGTTTAAGACGAGTGTGCGCGGCGCTAAGGCGAGAGCCACATTCTGAAAACAACCCGCCCTCAATCCGTGAAGGTCTTGCAAGTGTTTAAACGAATGTACCCGGCGCTAAAACGACAGCCACAATTTCAAATCGACCCGCCCTCAATCCGTGAAGCTCTTGTTGCACATGTTTAAGACGAGTGTGCGCGGCGCTAAGGCGAGGGCCACATTTTGATAACGACTCGCCCTCAACCCGTGAAGCTCTCACACATGTTCAAAGCGAATGTGCGCGGCGTTCAGGCGAGAGCCACATGTTGTAAATTGTCCGCCCTCCATCGGTTCATGTCGGAAATGTTGAGGGAGTCTCAGGCGAAACGCCCGGCCCGCTCGCTTCGACCGGCCTCGGGGTGCGACATGGATCAGTTTTTCATAAGGACAGGAATGGAGGAGGAGGAGGAGGAGGAGGAGGAGGAGGAGGAGGAGGCGGAGGATGTGGCGGTTCCCGGAGGGGTGCGCCTCCAAGGAGTTGGGAATTGTGGGGGCAAGAGGACGCGCGCCCATCGAGGGAAGTGACCTCGGGCGCCCGCCTCCCGGCCAGGGGCCGCGGGCAGACAGTTCCTGGGCAGGACCACTCCCTCACAAGGAGACCCCCAACGCGGATTCTACATCTTGAAAGGGGGTGGCATGCCTCGACTTAGTACTGCTCAACGTCGTGCTGCCGACCGACGGTTTGCACGAAGTAAACGTAACACCCCGCAATTGCGGATAAGAGTGAGAGGGCGGGCGCGGGCGACGCGGGCGTCGATCCGGCGGACCTCGTGGCCCTCACCTTGCCTGTCGATGGCGCCCTCCTCCTCCTCCTCCTGCTCCTCCTCGTCCGCGTCCTCGTCCTCATCGTCGTCGTCGTGCTCTGACAAGTTCAGCGCGGGGGGGAACGCTGGTGGGCCACGCGGAACGGTGCAAAAACAGCCCGCCGCAGGCGCCTAATTGTTTGGCTTGTTCAGTGAACGTAGTTTGGGTCGCGGGTGGGTTGCGGGCTCTCCATCTCCACCTGGAAGGAATTCAAAAACAGCCCGCCGCAGGCGCCGAAAATTTGGATTTGTACACAGAACGCGGTTTGGGCCGCAGGTTCTCCACCGGAGCGAATGCAAAAGAGACCCGCCGCAGGCGCCGAAGTTTTGACTTGCTCAGTGAACGTAGTTTGGGTCGCGGGTGGGTCGCGGGCTCTCCACCTCCACCTGGAAGGAATTCAAGAACAGCCCGCCGCAGGCGCCGAAAAGTTTGATTTGTACACTGAACGCGGTTTGGGTCGCGGGTGGATCGCAGGTTCTCCACCTGGAACGAATGCAAAGGAACCCCGCCGCAGGCGCCGAACATTTTGGGTGGGTCGCAGGGTGGGTCGCGGGTGGGTCGCGGTGGGTGGGTCGCGGGCGCGGTTTGGGTCGCGGGTGGGTCGCAGGTTCTCCACCTGGAACGAATGCAAAGGAACCCCGCCGCAGGCGCCGAACATTTTGGGTGGGTCGCGGGTGGGTCGCGGGTGGGTCGCGGTCGCGGGGGTCGCGGTGGGTCACGGGTGGGTCGCGGGGTGGATCGCGGGCTGGTCGCGGGTGGGTCGCAGGTGGGTCGCTGGTGGGTCGGCGGGTCGCGGGCGGGTCGCGGGTGGGTCGCGGGGGTCGCAGGTTCTCCACCTGGAACGCTAGCAAAGGAACCCCGCCGCAGGCGCCGAACATTTTGGGTGGGTGGGTGGGTCGCGGGTGGGTCGCGGTGGGTCGCGGGTGGGTCACGGGTGGGTCGCGGGTGGATCGCGGGGTGGGTCGCGGGTGGGTCGCGGTGGGTCGCGGGTGGGTCATGGGTGGGTCGCGGGTGGATCGCGGGGTGGGTCGCGGGTGGGTCGCGGGTGGGTCGCCGGTGGGTCGCGGCTCGGGGTGGGTCGCGGGCGGGTCGCGGGATGGGTCGCGGGCGGGTCGCGGCTGGGTCGCGGGGCTGGTCGCGGGTGGGGCGACGACAACAACAAACAACAAACGACAAATAACAAGCAACAAACAACAAGCAAGAAACAATAAACAACAAACAACAACAACAACAACAACAACAACAACAACAACAACAACAACAACAACAACAACAACAACAACAACAACAACAACATCACCAACAACAATAATCCGCATCGCGGAATTCCGGGTCAGCCACGCACCCAGTGACAGTGAATGGCCGTTCGGTTCAGCCCCCCTCTTTCTGACTTTGCCGATTTGCCGTCGGGCTCGACGCCGTAGCATGACAGGCAACGAACTGCAGGATATCCAAAGGCCGCATCAGCAGTTTCCTCGGACTCGGCCATGTCGCCGTGCAGCTCCGTGATCTTGTTGGACACGTAGCCCTATGTGTGCTCGAAGGCGGGCGTCACGTGTGGGAAGGTGAGGGGTAGGAGGAAGAGAGGGAAGAGGATGAGGGGGAGGACGAGTGGAGGAGGAGGAGGAGGAGGAGGAGGAGGAGGAGGGGGAGGAGGAGGAGGGGGACTTGAAGTCATATGGTTTTGGAGCGCCTTAGCCCCGTTAGTGGGCCCAGCTTCCTGGTGTCACAACATTGGTGGGCACGGTGGCCCAGCGGAACAAAGTGGCCACGCAGCAGAATGGCCTGACGCGAGCGGTGCTTGGCCACTGGCTGGGTTGCTGGACCCAGTGGCAAGCAAATCTTGTCCAACAGTGCGGGCTAGCGATTCCCAGCCGCCAATCTCATGCGAGGGAGGTGGGGGGCGGGACGGTCACATCCCCACCAGCTGGCAGTCAGCAGCCCCTGGCAGTCAGCAGCCCGTTCGCACGTTGCCGCACGGTGCACGTTTGCAGCCCCTGGCAGTCAGCAGCCCACAGCCCCCCCCTCGGCTTCTTCCTTGTCCTGGGCTGAGGCTCGGCGGTAGGCCTGCTCGCGCTAGGTAATTTAGGCACTCGCGCGGCCCGCTCGGACCTTACACGCCGTCGGCGCGCTCGCCTGTGGCTGGCTACCAAAGAAAAATCCCCACCAACTTTCGTTTTCTCTCCTCTTCCCCTCTCTTGCGCAATTTAGGCCGTAGCTTGCGCGCTGTGACTTTGACGGCGTGCGGCACCTCCGTATCGCTTGCGATCAAAAAGGTATCCCCACCAGCCCATCCAGAAGCAGATTGCCAGGCGAGTTGCCTTGATCAGGAAAGTGTAGAGGAGCGCAGCATAACAACCGCCTTCGAAGCGTTTCCTCGGAGGTCTCTTGGAACCATCTTGGGGCTGTGTTAGGGGTTTTTGCAGAGCCTCGTGGGGCACTCTTGAGGCCCCCTTGGGGCTCTCTTGGGGCCTTCGTGGGGCCCTTTTGGGCTGTCTGGGGCGGTTTGGGAAGTCTATTGGGGCCCTCTCGGGCCTCGTGGCTCAAAAAGGGCGGGTTAACGAATTCAGCCCGCCCTCCCCCCCTCGGAGGCTCAAAAATTGCATCTTGGATCCTTTTTGGGGACGCTCTTGGAGGTTTTTGGGCCCTCTTGGGACCTTCATGGGCCCCTCGTCGGGCTGTATTGTGCCATGTTGGGGCCATGTGGAGGTTTCAAAAGCCAACCGGCCAACCAGAAGCGCAAAAGGCGAGAAGCACGCAACAGAGGGAGGTTCTTGGAGGGTTCGAAGCGCACTTGGAACCGTCCTTGGGCCGTTGTGAGGTATCTTGGATGCGTATCGGAATTTATTTTGACCCATCTTGGGCTATCAGGATCAATATTTGGATGCCATCTTGGAGCCATCTTGGGCTCTCGAACCCTCGCGGGGTGCCCCCAAGGGGTAAGCCCCTCCCTCGACCAAGGAAGGGGGAGCCGTGGCAGACAGAAGACAAAACTCGTTGAACCACCAACGCCCAGAGGGCTGTTGAGAATATTGCCGCGGGTGGCGCTAAGAGCAGGTATGTGACGCTGGACCGGAACAGTCTCCCGAATTCTGCCTTGGCGGACACGGAGATCTTCGCGCTCAATCTGGAGAAAGTAAATCGCACCAACGTGCAAAACGCAGCGAAACACGAAGTTCGTAATGGTGTGACGGTGTTGTAAGTTGGCCATGTTACCAGACCTCCCGCCTCACGCCCGGGCGCGCGCATGATTTATACATTTTCTGGTGTGCGACGCGCCTTGGAGAAATACATTTTCTGGTGTGCGGCGCGCCCTGGATTAATGAATCCTTTGGCGCGCTTGCTCACAAGACCTCGCGCATTTTTCGGTTATGGTTGCCTCGCGTGCAACAGCTGTGACAAATTCGGGGCCACTTAACCAGGTCAGAGGTGAGCATCCAAGCTCGCACCTCCCCAGGATACCTCGTGGAGGCACGGTTGGGGTGCAGCGAGGCGCGCTGGCCGCAGCCATCGCGCGAAGTGTCATCAGCAAGTGCGTAGTAGGGGGGGGAAGGAGGGGGGAGGGCCGGAAGAGAGGTGATTGGTTAATGTGGGTTCGCCGCGCCTGCAACGGTTTTGACCAATGCGGGGCCACCTAAGCAGGCCAGAGGCGAGCTGGACATCCTAGCTCGCATCTCCCCAGAGTGCCTCGTGGAGGCACAGTGGTGGTGCAGCGACGCGCGCTGGCCGCAGCCGTCGCGCGAAGTGCCATAAGCAAACGCATGGGGGGCAGGAAGGGCGGGAAAGGAGGGCGGTACGGGAACCGAGGTGATCGGTTAATGTCGGCTTGCCGCGCCCGCAGCAGTTGCGATCGAGCCGGGACCACCGAAGCATGCCAGGGGTGAGCAGCTCGCACCTCCCCGGACAGAGTGCCTCGTGGAGGCACAGTGGCGGTGCGGCGAAGCGCGCTTGCCGCAGCCATCGCACGAAGTGTCGTAAGGAACTAAGTGCGTAGGAGGAGGAAGGGGGGACAGGAGGCTGAAAGACGGGAACGGAGGTGATTGGTGAATGTGGGTTTGTTCGGCTGAGTGGTAATGAGGAGTTTATACATGGGGGGTGAAGAAGGCAGCACCTCTGGCACACTTTAGGGGACCCTTTAGGGGCGTTTTGTTGATTTGCACCTTTTGGAACATGTTCGGTGCGGGACCTGTGCCAGCGGTTCAATGCGCAGTGGCATCTACGCGCGCGAAGCATCTGGCATCATCTGGCTGATGGATCGACGTCAGACCCCCAGGGGTTGCGCGGCGACACCCCGGCCGCATGGCGCGACTGCCGCGTCTGCCAAACAGTGGATGCATGTTTTGGGTTTTTGTCACCTCGTGCCGTGCAGCGTTTTGACCCTTTGAGGGACCTTTTTTCGAGTCATTGTTTGACCCACCACAGCAGTTTAGGGGCACTGTTGGGACAATCTCATGCGTTGCAACTTTTGGCCGCCCGCCGCTGTTGCGCATCAGAACGTCTGAGCGGGATGCTGCCGCGCGCGACGTTCGTGGTGCAATTCTATGGCCGCCTTAGGAGTGCGCCGCCAGCATGGGAGGGAACGTGCATGGAGAGTTCAAATCGAGCAACGTATCATATGTGAGAAGGCTTTTCGCTTCTTCGTTTGGGAAACGCGCGTTTCCGCCCCCCCCCATTCGCGTATCCCCCCCATTAACACTCATCTGATTTGCCGCGCCTGCAACGGCTGTGACCGACCTGGAGTTACTTGAGCAGGCCACAGGTGGATTGGACATACGTCGCACCTCCCTAGGGTGCCCCGTGGAGGCACAGTGGCGGTGCAGCGAGGCGCGCTGGGCGCAACCATCGCGCCAAATGTCATCAGCAGGCGCGCGGGAGGAAAGACGGGGGAACGCGGGGGGTAATAAAGGTGATTGGTTAATGTAAGCGTGCCGCACCTGCAACACCTGTAACCGACTCGGGGCCACTTAAGCATGCCAGGGGTGAGCTGGGCATCCCGGCTCGCACCTCCCCAGGGTACTTCGTGGAGGCACACTGGCGGTGCAGCGAAGCGTGCTGGAAGCAGCCATCGCGCGAAGTATCATCAGCAAGTGCGTAGTAGGAGGAAGGGGGGAAAGGAGGGGGGAGGGCGGGAAAAGAGGTGATTGGTTAATGTGGGTTCGCCGCGCCTGCAACGGTTTTGACCAATTCGGGGCCACCTAAGCAGGCCAGAGGCGAGCTGGACATCCTAGCTCGCACCTCCCCAGAGTGCCTCGTGGAGGCACAGTGGCGGTACAGCGACTCGCTCTGGCCGCAGCCGTCGCGCGAAGTATCATAAGCAAGAGCATGGGGGGAGGAAGGGGGGGGGACAAGCAGGGGGTTGGGCGAGAATAGAAGTGATTATTTAACGTGAGCCTGCCTCACCTGCAACGGCTGTGACCGATTCGGGGCCACCTTAGCAGGCCACGGTTGAGCTGGGCATCCCAGCTCGCGCTTCCGCAGGGTGCCTCTTGGAGGCATAGGGGCGGTGCAGTGAGGAGCGCTGGCCGCAGCCATCGCGCGAAGTGTCATAAGCAAGTGCATGGGGGGAATGGGGAAACCGATGGAGGAAGGCGGAAACAGAGGTGATTGGTTAATGTGGGTTTGCCGCTCCTGCAAGGGTTATGACCGAGTCGGGGCCACCTGAACACTCCGGAGGTGAGCTGGGCATACGAGGGGGGGGGCGGGAACAAAGGTCATTGGTTAATTCGGGGTGGCCACCCAAGCTGGCCAGAGGTGAGCTGGGTAGCCCAGCTCGCACTTCCCCAGGGTACTTTGTGGAGGCACAATGGCGGTGCAGCCAGGCGCGCTTCGCGCAGCCATCTTGCGAAGTGTCGTAAGCAAGTGCGTGGGAAGAGGAGGGGGGGATAGGAGGACGAGGGCGAGGGGTAATGCGTGTAAATGTGATTTTGCCGCGCCTGCAACGGCTGTGGCCGACTCTGGGCCACCTAAGCAGGCCAGAGGTGAGCTGTGCACCCCAGCTCGCACTTCCCCAGAGTGCGTGAGGCGCGATGGCCGCAGCCATCCCGCGAAGTGTCATAAGCTCATAAGCAAAAGCGTGAGAGGAGGAGGGGCGGAAAGGAGGGGGCAGGACGGGCACAAAGGTGATTGGTTAATGTGGGCTTGCCGCGTACGCAGCGGCTGTGACCGAGGTGGGGTCATTTAAGCAGGCCAGAGGTGAGCTGGTACACGGATGCCGACGCCTGTTCAACGACAGGGGCGGCAGCCCAGATCGCATTTCCCCAGAAGCATTGTGGAAGCACAGTTACGGTTTTGTGGGGCCGCACCTTTGCTGGGACAGTGGAGCAGGACCGCCAGCATGTTTACGCCGGTGTGTCCTCGAGGTCAGTACCTCAGTGTGCCAGTGTGGAGCAAGGGCACAGGACCGCCGGCATTACCGCCGCCTTCTGACCTTGAGGTCGATGCCTCGATAATGGTGTAAATGTTCATGCCCGCCAGCCTAGCCAGCAGGTTGTGAATTGAATGTGAGTGCCTCGTGCGCGCATGTGTGGAGGGTAAACAGGACCGCCAGCGTTGCCGCCGGGCTGTGTCCTGGAGGTCTGTACCTCAGGTGTGCACGAGTGGGCTGACAGCAGGACCGCCGGCATTGCCGCCAGGCAGTGTTCTGGAGGCAAGCGCACCTGCTGGCTTCTTGCCACCGGGGGCTCGGCTGGGGTGCTCGTCGGGCGTTTCGCCCCGTGCGTCCCCAGCCGACTCCCCCAGAGGAGTACCAAGCAGCATTAGCACGGGGAGCAGGAGGAGGAGGAGGAGGAGGAGGAGGAGGTTGGGGGCGACGTCGTGACAAATCACGACGGAAGGTGTTTCGCCGATTGCGGTTTCACAGGGGCCCTCGGTGGACCCGAGAACCGTCAAACGACGAGAAGGGGGTGATGATTAGGGGTGTGTGGAAATCATGGCTGGCGCCATAAGAATTCCCAGAATTCGTGGCCCCCTCTTCTTCTGTCAGCACGCCCTTCCCCCTTCGTCCGCGCACATGCGTCGTGCCATGATTTGCGACCCCCCTCTGGAGCCCCCCCCCTGGACGACCCCATTCTTCGCCGGGAGAAGGAGGACGAGGACCGAAGAAACACATACACATAACAACAACATACGTAAGCCTCTTGAGATCCGCGCGGGCTTTTTGGATCGGCGTTGGACCCCTCCCTGGCGCGTGGAGCGAGCCGCCAGTGAGGCCCAGCACATACCAATAAAATCGCGCGGACCTCCGCAAGCTGATGCTCATACAGTGTTTTTTGTTCCTCAGGAGGAGGAGGAGAATGAGGAGGAGCAGGAGCAGGAGCAGGAGAACCAGCAGCAGCAGAAGCAGCAACAACAGAAGCAGCTGCAGCAGCGAGCAGCTGCAGCAGCGAGCAAATGGGAAGACGCGCCAAGTTCGGTTGACAGCGGAAGCCGAAAGAGGTGAACGGTTGAGAGCGTTCGATCTGCCACAATACGTGAGACCGTTCGCTAGCACTGGCTAGATAAAGTCGTGACGAAGGGGGGTCATATCGCCGACGTCCGCTAAGAAAGAGTTATCGAAATCGGGCTGGGCTCGAGAATCTCGTCCAGTACCCGAATTTAGACCTCCGAGTTGGAGCAACAGCGGATCTGGGGCCCGCTCTTCTCCATCACGCCGTCGCCGATGCATCGGCGATGTGCCGCGATCCTCCGCCCCCGTTTGTTCTGGCCCCATGTGGCATGCCACCGCGTATCTGCGTCGTTTCGGCCTTCTAAAGAAAAGACGCCGAAGTAGGACCAGCTCGGGTTCGGAAGGGGCTCGCTGTTCCTAACATCCTCCCACAGTACTTTCGCTAGCGTTCTTCGTGCACCGAGGCGCTTTGGGGCTCAGACAGGGGCTTCGTTCCTGACTGCGAAGGCCTCGCGGCCAGCTCGGCCGACCAAGCAACGGTGGAGGGCTCTTGGGCCAGTCTTGGGCTTTTCTGGGCAGTCGTGAAGCCGTGTTGAAACCTCTTTGGGTAGCTTGACGCTCTCTTTGCCGTCTTGTGGCCATTCTGGCAGCTTCCGGGCCACCTTTCGGCCACCTTGTGGCTCTCCTGCGCCGTCTTTGGGCCCCCATTGACAGTCTGGGGGGGTCTCTTGGGGTCGCTTTGGGGCCATCTGGGGCCGTCGTTCCTGTTTTAGCGTTCCCTCTGGTAGTACAGGATCAATTTCGATCGGATTGATCTGATTCGATATTGAGATTCCAGGATCTTCGGTCCGATTCGATCCCAATACACCGATGATCCGATGCGGCCCGATGCTTGCATAGCTCTGTTTGGCATTCTGGCGCAGCCGAACCTATCACATTCCGACTCCGTGCCAATGCTGCCCGTTCCGACAGGCGTTCCGAACCGATCCGATCTCCCGATTCGATGCTGACTGATGTTGTAGAATTTTGGTTGTAGGCTCCCTGCGCCCCAGTAAGTTAAGGAATGTGGCCGGGAGGCTTACAGCATAAGTTTTGTGGCGGACGCATAGTCCCCAGTCTGTCCTCGTGCTTCCCGCAATGATTCCCTATCGAATGCCCTCACCGCAGCAGCTAGGCTGCAGGCTGCCCGCGGCCCGCCGACCTCGGCCGGCCTCGGCTGGTGCTGTCGTCGCGGGCGACCCCCCCCCCCCAGGACACGCTGGCCTCCGCGAACAATTTGGGCGTCCTGCTGCACGACATGGGGAGGCTTGGGGTCGCAGTCGCCGTCGTCGCAGTCGATTGCCCCAAGAGGCCCAAGCGAGCTCCAAGAGGGCCCGAAGAGGGCCCCGAGAGGGCGCAGGTGGGCTCCAAGATGGCCCCAAAAGGGCCCCACGATGGCCCCAGGAGGCTTCCGAGACGCTCCCAGAGCGAAAGATTGCAAAGGTCTTGACAATGACTCCTGTCGTCGGCGTCGGCGTCGTCGGCGTCCCCTCAGCACAGGTGGCAGGATCGTCAAGCTGGCCTCCCCCTGCGCAGGGAAGGGAAGGTCGGGTGCTGGGAGGGCTGCCTGCCTGGGCGACCCACCCCGCATTTGCGGAGTGAGAGGGCGGCGGGATCGTCGGCAATCTCGAGGCTTTGAAGAAGCCCGCCGCAGGCGCCGATTTGTCAACACATTGCGCAACGAGCCCGCCGCAGGCGCATAATTTTCGTCAAAGCAATGTTGGTGGGTCGCGGGTGGGTCACGGGGTTGGTTGCGGGGTGGATCACGGGTAGGGTCGCGGGCGGGTCGTGGGCGCGCACGACGACAACAAAAACCATGATTTTAAGATTATTCGTTTTTATATGTTCGCGTGCCACTCACCATGTATATCCCCAGCCCTCGATACCCGCCCTCTTCGTCTTCGATCGTACCCCCCTTGGGGCATGTCTTCCTTACCTGCCACGTGAAGTTGGCGCAGTCCCTAAGATAGGGAAATGGAGGGAGGAGGGAAGAGACAAGGGGGAGGGAGAAGGATGGAGCACAACAGAGATTTGCAGGACGGGGCTCGGAGCAGGAGTACAAGCGGCAGAACCAGACGGGCGGGTCAGGCGGGCGGACCCCAACGGGCAGGTTGGGCGGGCGGGCCCAGGCGTCCGGGTCGAGCGGGCGGGTTGCTGAAGCGTCAATCTTACATGAGTCGCCCGGAAGTTTAGAGCGATAGCGCGATTTCCAAGTAAGTTGTGAGGAAATCCAAAGCGAGAGCGCCATTCCTGAGTGTTGGGGGCGCGGCGCCGCAATCCATTGTAAGCAAGTACCACGCGAGAGCGCGATTCCTAGATACATTGTGAGGAAGTCCCGCGCGTAAGCGCAATCTTGAATACATTCTGAGGGTGTACCAGGCGGGAGCCGCTGTTGTGGTACACTGGGGGGAAACGACACCAAGAATTGGGTGCGAGCCCCAGGATGAGCACTTCAATTTAAAAAACAGAAGCACAGGGGGGGGGGAACAACAATAGCTTTTTTTTGTTGGAATGAGAATTCAGGGGGATAGCCGCAACGCAACCAGCATCATCGAATGACCCTTCGGCCCCCTCACTCGGACGTTTGTAATGGCAGGTGCCCCTGGCAGAACAAGAGGGTGAGGAATGTTAGGTTCCGTCCCCTCACCTCCCTCCGGCCACGTCGATTCATGAGCTGCCCTCTTAGGTTAGAGGGAGCTGCAGGCGCAATGTTTGCGGGCCTGCGCCAGACTGGTCTGGTGCCGGGCCGTTTTCGCTACCGATCCTCGAGCCATCGATCGCGGGCGGCAAAAAGGGGGGGGTGATGACTGGGGGGTGGGGTGGATGTCATGGCATCTCCCTGCATGTCAAGGTGCCTTTTCTCCCTGGGAGGGGTCATGACTGGGGGGGGGGTCGTGACACCTCCCTGAATTTCATGGTGCCTCTTCATATCTCGAGACGTCCCCTGGGCTGCGCACGTGCCTCGTCCGTGGCCTGCGAACGCTCGTGCGCCCCCCTCGTGGACGCCCACCCATCGGTATCCTCGGGCCATGGGTCCCGAGCCTCGGTCCTCGACCACTGGGATGACCGCGCGGGCTTCAATGGGACGGGGAGTACAGAAGCATATGGCAAGCTGGTCATGTCTGTCCCAACCTGGCTTGCGAGCGGGTTGCGGAGGCCGCAAGCGGGGGGGGGGGTAGACAGCTCCGCTCGTCGGGCGGAGCACGCTTAGCCCGGATTGTCAGCCCCCCTCAGCCACATGGGGCAGTTGCAGCCCATTGAAAAACCAGGTTGGTCCAGAGGATCACCTCGGCATCCGCGGCACTCCCCGCGGTCATCCCAGCATCGAGCCTCGATCCAGGCGAGGCTGCCGGCGGACCGCGGCCGGCGGCGGGGAGGGCCTCCCTGGTCATCGGCGCCGCGGCCCCGCCGGGTCGGCGGTGCAGCCCACTCCCGCTCGTGCTCGGGCCTCCCACGCCGCGGTTCGTGGGCGCAAAGCCTCTCTCTTTCTATACATACGTGTCTGTCCGTGGCCTCTTCGGCCCTTCGCTTCCTCGCTCGTCTTCATTTATGTGTGTCGTCCTCTTCTCGGCGGCGACGATAGGGGCGAGTAGCCCAGGGGCTGGCATTACACGTATTCGCCGGGGAGCCTGTTCGAAGACATAGATCATTGGCGCATTTGAATACATGTATTGCTCTCCCCTTGGCTATTCGCCCCTATCGTCGCCGCTGATCTTCGGCCCTTAGCTTCCTCACTCGGTCTGCCCTCGACCCTTCGCTCCCTCAGCGTTTTGCGCGCGCACGCGCGCCTCGCCGTCGCGCTGTCCTCGCATCAGCGGCCCCGCGTTCGCGCATGTGTTGAACTCTGGTGAACGTGGTCACGAGAGCGCGGGATCGACAAGTGGAGCAAATAGGGCGTTTTTTGTTCGCGGGTTGGCCAGCAGCGCAAATGTTCCGTTGCCAAGTTATGCATGGCGCCGGTTTTCGAATCTCCATCATCGCAGGTAAGTGCGCCGCGAACGCGTTGCGAGTTAGACTTGTGTCTGATCGTGCCAAGCGGCGTTCGCACAGAACGCGCCGCGCTGCTGGCCAGGGGTCGCGCGACCCTGTGAAGGGAGAACTGTGATGGAAATGTTTTGCATGATGGTCGGAGGTGATCGCGCGGTCCGCTGTGACGGGCGGCCGTGGCGGGAATGAGCATTTGGCAGTGACGCGTCATTGCCGACAGGGTGACGGACGGCGCAGATCCACCCGTTTACAGTGGGGCGCCACTGCAGTCAAGGACCCCAAGCCTGTCGAGGCGGGTGTGTGCATTTTACAAAGGGGCCCCGGTCACCGCGGGGACGAACAGCGTGGGGGGCTCTGGGGGTTGTCTCTGCCGTCTTGGAGATTTTAATCGCTGTCATGGATCATGATAAAAAGGAGCCTTGGATGAATCCGGACCCCCCCCCTCTGGTGAGCCCGAACCTCTGGCGGCGGGTTGGCCAGTTTCGACGGCCGTTTCAAACGGCCGTCGAAACGGTTTGACGAGAGGGAGGACGGGGAGGCCGGGGGGGAGGGGGAGGACGAGGAGGAGGAGAGATGGAGGAGGAGAAAGAGGACGAGGAGATGGAGGAGATGCAGGAGATGGAGGAGGAGGAGGAGATGGAGGAGGAGGAGGAGGAGGAGGAGGAGGAGGAGGAGGAGGAGGCCACTGCCGCGACCGCGCTGCGCCCCCCCCCCCCCCCAGCCCCCGCGGCGCGCGCAGGCTTCGGGAGGCCGAGCGGCTGCACCGGAGGGCCCTGAGCGGCAGGGAGGCGACGGGCCACCCCCGGGGGTGGCGCCATCGAGTGTCGTTGCGGGCACGACAGCTGAGCTGCCCCCGACTCGCGCTGGAGCGCTCACGAGATGCTTCAGATGTGCACGGGGATCTGCGGCTTTACTCAGGAGCATTCGGGCCTCATCCCCCCGATGGATGAATGCCCATCAAGATGCTTGCCCTTCTGGTGGAAAGATGCCTATCAATGATAGGCATATGGTGGGCATATGGGTGGGCATATGATAATCATATGCCCACCCATATGCCTACAATTCTGGTGGCAAGATGCTCATCAGATGGCGATGCTGGAGGAGAGCAGGCCTGTGCTGGAACTTCGCGCACGACAGCGGTGACGGACCGTGCGGCGAGGCCTCCTGGGATTCCGAAGTCGCCGCGCGGTCTGTCCCCGCACCGTTCCGGGACCGAGGGAACGCCCCGCCTTGAGGAGGTGGGCCCCCGAGATTGCCCCAGAGCCTTCGGGACGACTCCAAGCGTCCAAGAGTCTCCTCGGGCCTCGATCCGGGAGCCTGGACTCGCCGCAGAGCCTTCAGGACGACCCCCAGCGTCCCTGACACTTTCTCGAGCTTCGATCTCCTGGGATCCTGGAGCCTCGACTTCCTGGGGGGAGGGGGGGGCGCGAGGCCCAGCGCGAGAGGTGGCGGCGCAGCCTCCGCGCCGAGCGGCGCCGCGCCGCACCCAGGAGCGCAGGCCTGGGGAGGCCCAGCGGCTGCACGCGAGGGCCCCCTCGCGGCGGCAACAGATCGGGGCCAGGTTTTGTCGAGGAGTGGCATGTCGGCATGTCTGCGCGGCACGCAAATTACATTTCAGCGAAAAAGAATTGTCAGTGTGTATGTCCAACGTGGCCAATCCTATTGTCTTGGTCCGTGGCCGATGATAAGGCAACCTCGTGTTCTTTCATGGAGCCCAGCCCCTACCAGCCGAAAAGGCGTGCGACCGACAAACATTCAGAGACCGAAGCTCCCCCCCTTACTCCCAGTCCTCCCTTCTCCAGCTTGTTTCGTTGCGCCCCACCGTTGCCCCACCGCTGCTTGGATCCACGTGGCCGCCGCCAAAGCAAGAGTTTGCCCGAGGAGGGCCGATAGGCTCAGGGGGCTTTCGAGGTTCGAAATTTCGGAAGTGTTCGTCGGCTCTTGCGGACTTTCCAGCCTCGGGATGCCTTCCAGTGGCTGCGCCTCGCCGAGAGCATCCGAGAGCGTTGCAGGGTTGGGATAAGCCCGAACGCCTTCGGGAGGCCCGAGTTGTGCCCCGAAGGTCACAGGGGACGGGGGGGGAATATTCGTCTCGCGCCCGCTTGCCCGAGAAGGGTCTCGCGCTGCAGCGTCGCCGCGCAGGGCGTCCCTGCGCCCAGGCATCGGGGAAGAACTGGCGGGGCATACGGTCGGCCCTGACGAGTAGGTCGACCCTGCCAGCTCAAGGGTTCCCTTCTGTCGCGTGCCCCGCGACGCATGCCTTCTTACGCTCCTATGGCGACGTGGCCCTCGGAAGGATCTCGTGTCCTCTCGCGTGCCCTCTCCTGTCAAGTTCGACTTTGGAAGCGTTCGGAGCTCCGCGCGGGCTCCTCGGAGTGCCCTGGGCTCCCCTGGCGGCGCGCTCCGCGTGCCAGCGAGGGCGTCCAGCGCAGGCCCGAGAAGTCCGCGCGGACCTCTGGCAGCTTCTTTTTATGGCCGAGGCGGCCAGCAGCATTTTTGACATGTATTGCGAAGGCCGTTCGGCCGGAGCCGCCGACCCTGAAGGGCGACGACGACGACAACGGCGGCGGCGACGAGGACGCCGCTGACGTGGGCCAGAGTCCTCAGGGATGCTTATTGGGTCCCTTTGGAAGGCTCTCGGGGGCCTCTGGGGAGGAATTTTGGCGCCTCTTGGGGGCCTCTCGGGGGCCTCTTGGGAGTCTCTCGGGGGCCTCTTCGGGCTTCCTGGGAACCTCCTATGGGCCTCTTGGGGCCTCTTGGGGCATCTTGGGAACCTCTTGGGGCCTCCTGGGGGCCTCTCGGGGCTGAGGACTCGAAATGTCAGTTCAGGCCTCCCCGTCTGGGCACGCTATTGGAGCAGTCTTGCGGGCCTATTGGGCCGTCTTGGAGGCGTTTTGGGCCGTCTTGGGGTCCTCTTGGGCTGTTTTTGGGCGCTCTTGAGGGCCTCTGGGGCCGTCTTGGTGCGGCGGGAAGTGGATAAGGCGACAGCGACCAAATCTTCCAGAAACCGACGGGCAGACAATGAATTTGGCCTCTCGGGGCTCTCCCGGGAGTGCTCTTGGAGGTTTCTTAGGGCGTCCTGGAGGCATCCTGGGCAGTCCGGAGGGCGTGAGGGCGTTTTGGACCGATCGTTTCGCGATTGGGGACGCTCTTGGACCGCCTCGGGCTCCTCTTGGGGCATTCTTGGCCTGTCTTGGTACTTTTTGAGGCCCCGGGACCCCCAGGGGGGGATGCGTATCTGACCCCCCCCAAGGACCTCCCTAACCTCCCAGGACCCCCCCCCCGACGGGGGAGGGATCGAAGGGAAGAGGCTTCCCTTCGACTCGATTGCGACATTGCTAGATTTGTCTTTCGCTGACAAGCTTGAGGAGGAGAGTGCAGGGAAAGGGGACGACGGAGACGACGATTGACGGAGACGACGACTCGAACAGACAATCCCCTCACACGCGCCGACGGGGTCGGCCGATTTCCCGTTCGTCGTGCATGAGAGTTAGCCTTGCTCCTTCACACACCGTGACGGAGGTTAAATTAAGGCATGCCACGCTAAGTGTGGCCATGGTAATTTCAATTGTAACTTTGCTTGCCCTAAGACCAAGCCCACTTCGGTACAGGAGCTGGTGAGGCTGGGCGTGGCAATGGCCTGCCACAAGGCTTGTGGCAAGGACATGCCCTGCCACAGGCCAGGTTGCAGCTGTCCTTTCGGGCAGAAGATGGCGGCGTGTGGGACGCTTGCAGACACGACCCAGTGTCAGAAGAGGGGTGAGGTAGCAATCGCTCGACGTGCAGTCTCGACGAGGACGCAAAGGCACTGCTGCTGCAGGAGCCGTGGGGCCCGGTGCAGGACGTGGCAGAGCACGTGGTGGCCAACCTGTTACCCCTGCAGGCGGAGCAGCTGGCCACATTGGGTGCCGCGGCGACCACGCTTGCCACAAGGTATGCCCGAGCGGGCCATTCCGCATCTTGAAGGGCCAGTCTGAAAAACTCAACACGACTATGGCCTGCCATCGGTCGTGCAAGGCGCAGGGCATGCAGTGCCTGTTCCAGATGAAGGCATGCCCAATGAATTGTCCGATGCCAGCGCCCGCATCCGTAGAGGAGTTCACAATGTTGGCGGCCCATATGGCTTGCCACGTGGAGTGCGGCAAGGACGAGCAGTTCCACAAGGTTTGCGTCAACCAAATGTTGTGGACAGAGAAAAAGCGGGTGTGCGAAAGTTGGCGTACCACAGGGTTTGTGGGGACCATGGGCATGGTTGCCACAGGGTATGCCCGTCCGTCCACAGTATTGACCTGGCCTCAGTGTCTCTGGCGCACCCACTGGACAGCGTCATGAAGGAGGCTGTGAGCCGCCTTCACATGTGAGGTCATTCGTTGTCTTCCGTGCCGTGCTTCAGACGCCGACCTCCCGTGCTGACCGCACTTCTGTTCTTGAGGGCGGGACGAGGTGCTAACTCGCGTTGCCTGCGCATGATAAATCGCGGGGACAAGCGATGGTACGAGGCTCTGGGTTTGTGGCAGGGATGTGGTGGCTGAGGCCTGTTACCGCTCAGCAGTCTTCTTCTCGCGTCGGAGTTGTTCCTGGCGTCTGGACCCGCCGGCCTCTCAGATTCTGATTGTCTCTCTGCCCCCTCTGTCGTGCGGTCGCCGGTGGGCGTTTGGGGCTCCGTCCCCCCTAAGGGGGGGGGGGGGGGGCTGCTTGGCTGCTCCGTGGCTTCTGGGGGTTGCGGAGAGGGGGGGGGCGTTTTGGGTGGCCCTTGGCCCTTTTGCCCGACTTCTCGTGCGCGCACCGTCTTATCTCAATGCCGCCGCAGCCGTGTGCAGCTCAGGCGGCTCAACGGGCGAGTGCCTCGTTGCGGTCCGCACGGCGCGCCCCTCCCTTGTCGCGGTGGCGTGTGCCGCGCGGGATACGATCGCTTCTCCTTCTGGAAATGGATGGCGAGCTCGCACAGATCCTGGGCGAGTTCACCGCGGACCCGGCTATCAGCGACGTGCTGGTCAACCGCGGCGGCCTCAAACTGTGGCAGTTTGTGGAGTTCGTTAACGACATCATAGACTGAACGGGGATCCCTGCGTCCATGGGGCCCGTTATCACGGACAGAACGCCCGTCGTTGCCCTGCGGCGCGCAGACAAGGCCGCAGCGCAGAGGGACAGAGAATGGTCCCGCTTGCGCGGCGCCAAGCTACCACTCATGTTGTACTATGGGGAAACAAGTCCCTGTTGCAATAGCAGTTTACGTAGTACTAAAACATATTGGTCCGCGCGGATCTCTCGGATCGGCGACGGGCCCCCCTCCCCGGCGCGCGTCGGGGGCGGCGCTGGAGGCGCAGCCGTGGGGTTCCAGTGACGATCCGATAAATTCGCACGGGCCTTCGAATTTCATAGTTCTGCCTTCGTTTGGATTTCTACACGTGGTATTGCACATGCGCGTGCATGTGCACTTCGGCCGGGATCTCGGGCAGGAGGTGTCCAGCTTCAGCGTGGACGGGCAGCGGTGGGCGCCGAGGGCCCGTCCTTGTTTCCAGAATTCGCAGTGAGTTTCGACGCTTCCGGGGTGGATGCGCGCATGGTGTCCGCGCTGATCCGAGTTCGCGTCGCGATCGTCGGGTCCAGCAGTTCACGCCGTTCCGCCGACCCCCGAAAGGAGTCAGAACTTGCGACGGTCGTTCGGTTATCGATGACGTCTACGGCGGATCACCGCCGCCCCCTGCCTTTCGGAAGCGCCCGCGCGGCCGAATGTTGGGCCGACGTCAAGCCAGGCCATTGGGCCATGCGTTCCCCCAGTCGTCGC